GATCTATTGAGTGTCCTGTTACAGTCTGTGCCACCAGCCTTGTGGTAGCTTGTGTAAGTTTGAAGCTTCTGGCTCTCTGATTGAGACACATTTGCTTCTGCAACATCACTAAAGAGCCTTAAACCAATACAGCAAGGATGTACTTTCTAAAGAAAGCCAAACAACCAAAACAGATTCTAAAAAATGCAGTGCTTACAAGTCCCCTGTGTCAAACATGGCAGAAGTCCTTGTCAGCAAGAGGACAGGACAAATGCTTACATTCATTCCTGAAGTTCACCCAGAGTCCTTCCCTCTGCCGGATACCACCTACTGCAGATATTTATTTCTCCTTCTCACTTGAATTTAAACAAACAAGCTCTGTCCATACACTGCCTTTGGCTGCTATTTGGGTAAAAAGCAATGCCTGAACTGCTGAGACAGACAGAACCTTCTTCATCCTCATGATGGCAGAGGCACAAGGCATGGGCAGTCATCATAAAAATACTACCAAAGTCTCTCATTTTTAGCACCTTGATTTTGTTTTGTTGGAACCCAAGTGTACAACCTGTGCCATTTCATGGGCTATAAGCTAACAATTTTCTCTGCCACCTATGTACCCACACAGGAACCCTGGAGTTGATTTCTGGTGCAGGGAGGAGGGCTGAGGACTGGGTCAGGTTTTAATCTGACCGCTACCTGGGCTGCCCACAGATAACCAAGACATCATCTTCAAGCCCCTTCCTAACCCTGGCATATCCACAGCTTCCAGGGAGGAATGGATTCACCACCACTGACAAACATGATTCCTTACATTTATGGGCTCCTTTCAGACCACTGTGGAATGACATCATCACCAAAAGGAGACCAAGTGACCCAGATGGGTGGGTAACTCTCCACCAGTACTACAAACCAGGAGCAGGAGGCAGTAAAATCATGAAGGATGAGAAACTCTCGTGCCTTGCAAGGGGAGGACTGAAAATTAGGAGCTTCCTCACCTGCTTCTGCTACCTGGCCAAAGGTGCTGTGGCTCTGTGACCAGAGGGTGGATACACAATGGTGACAGCAGTATCAAGAAAACAGCAAGGAGGTTGGAAAGAGGGCAGAGACATCCAAGGAGGCACCAGATCTGGTGGCTTTGAGACCTGCGGGATGGGGAATAGAGAAAGACTGCAGCTTCAGACAAGAAAGATTTTCACTTCTCTGGTTACCTCAGCAGTCTCAGGTCTCAGAGTGGCCAGAGCATCAGGCACAGAGCACCAACAACAGCCAGTCTAGCGTGGGCAAAAGTGACTGCCAGCCCTTATCCTGCTGGCACAGCAGCTCCTGCTGTGGTGGAGGTAACAGCCTGCTGCTCGTGAATGTCCAGTGGCAAAAACTGGGCTATAGCAGCCAAATAACAATAGGTAATGAAAGCCCCTAACTAAATCTGCCCAGACGTGCCAGTCTACATTTTGTACCTAATGTTCTGAGCTCTAACACGTGTTAGCACCTCTCCTTCCTAATAGCTTTCCCTTGCGTTTCTTCTCTTCCATGTTATTTAGCCATGCATTAACCTTTGTGTCTCATTCCTGATCTATTGTTAAAATCTATGTTAATTCCTTAGAATCTTATAACTTTTCCCTCAAGCAAATTCTGAGCAGTCTGGGATTCCTGTACCCACAGACGCAGTAGGTAGCTGACATGGTCTGCACTCCAACAGCTCAAGCTGCATGAATGGTCTAATTAACACCTCATCAAACTCAGCTTTTGGTTGTGTCTGGAGAAATTCCCTCTTGCACCTGTGCATCCACAAGACACCATATCTAGCCTCCTGAACAGCAGGCCCCAGCCATCAGAGCAGTGCTCCATCACTGCAGAGCCTGTCCTTACACCAGCAGTAGCAGTCCTGGTCAAGGCTCCAGGGCTTGCCAGCCCAGAGTGACACTGATGGCTATGGCTGCTCTGAGCTGTTGCTCTGTGCAGGGTGGTGCAAGAACTCAGGAGCAATAACTCAGCACCTAAGGATGTGCAAAGCCCAAGCTTCTGTATTTCAGGCAGATCTCTCCTCCCCTCACCATATCATGCTTCCATCATCAGGAAGTGCACAGCTGTCACCCAGCACAACTCAGTGTCACCTGCCTAAGGACAACCTCTGCAGTGGGACAGCGTGCACACACCTCTACATACTGCAAACTCTCAGGTGTCCAATCTGCACTCATTGTTCAACAGACCCCAGAGAAAGGTGGCATCTCAGGAGGGGTTCAGTTCCACCCTGTCCTGGAGGACAGACCTTAGGATTGGGTCAGAACAGCCTTGGAGGTGCCCATCTTCCACCACTGAGACCAACAGAGCCTGGTGCTTAGCAGATACAAATGCCCAACTCATGTTGACACTGCCATTATTGCAGGAAAAAATTTAAACATAAAGAATAAGTTTAGCTTAGCTGCTTGAGATAACAGTTAAAAATAGACTGCAATGTTTGGTACACAAAGCATGCAACAGGAAAATGTAATTCTAGTTAATACTTTACACCGAGACTTTTCTCTGAATGTTTCAAGACCTAAGGTAACTCCTGAGGCTTTCCCTGGAGAACATCTAATGCCAGGTTCTACTGTTGGAGATCACTCCCTGGGCTTCTCTGAGCTCTCCTCTCCTGTTTCAGTTCATTTCCGTTGCTTCCCCTACCAAAACTCACTTCCTCACTTTGTGTAACAGAACCATGCTTGCCTGACATACTAATCCACCCTTTCCATCTTCTCCTCTGGGGTGTCATCTCCTCCCTCCAGACTTAATTAACGAGTCATAATCTTCCACTTGGCATATCTCTTCCTACCTAGCTGACTTCTGCTGTTCATCACATATTTTTTTTTAAAGAAGAGAAAAACTTTGCAGACTTTGCATCACCAGGACTATTAGCTGTACACACTTCATTCACTCAGGATCACATCCTCCTGTGATCACTATGTAGACCACTCATGGTGGTCTAGCAAGGCAGACAGAAGATTTGATATTGAGAGCATCTTTCTAATCCTTCTCATCTCTCTTGCTTGCTAACTATGTGGGGCTCATTCAGGACTGTGAGAGGCATGTCCTGGCTGTGACAGCACCAGGCACATGCTGAGCCACATTCCATTGACCAGTTCTGGATGCTCCTGCAGAAGACAGAGCTCTCAGTAGCATTAACCCAGATACTGAAGAGACCTTGGGGAGCTACTGGAAATACAGCTCATGCTGTCAAAGAGCTTAGGCACTGGGGTTTGTCCTTTTGCAACTCCATTTCCAAATACTGCAAATGAGCGTTTAGTCCTTTGTCTTTGTGTAATCAGACTTGTTCCTCCTCTTTACGCCCTGCTTGGTGATAATGAGGTCTCTATGTGGAAAGACAAGCAGCTCTTTTCCCACAGGACCCTGTGGGTTGCAAGGCCATGCAGGCAAGTGCCACTTGTCGTGAGCTGCAGACACCAGGATTTGGAGTGCAGGACACAAGGTTTCTCCATGGGAAAGAGAAAACACGTTGAGCACCTGTTGACCAGAGCCACCCTGGCAGGCAGGATGGCAGCAGAGGAAACAGCACATAGCTTGGAGAGCAGGCATGCTCATCACAACTCTTTGAGACCAGCACGGGGGTCTGGAGAGCCCCCACCATCCTGTCACCAGGGCTGTACCTCTTACATACCTACCCTTTCGTTTGAGATGGGGTTTCTGCCATTCTCTCCACCACATTGTACACTACAGCCTCACTCCCAGGGTTGCCGTCTGTCAAAACACAGCCCCAGCAACACTGAGCTGCTGGACCACCCTGGCCGTGTGACTTGGCTCTTCCGACCTCCCTTCCCTGGGACCCGGCTGCGGTGCATGAAGGGCAAACGCAGCAGTAGGACTTCCCTTTCTCTAATAGCTTCTTGGCTCTCATCCCCATTGTTTGTCTTACTCAGCCCGCTCCTCCCGGCGCTAATAGATTTCCTGCTGATCAAGGCTACTACAACATTTTGTAACTCCCCCTGCGCCGCTTCCATGCCCTGTACCAAACCCAGGGGCTCCATCAAGCACTTCACTGCCGCGGCATCGGCGCCAGCTGTAGTGTGGGTGCAGGGGCTGTTCCCCCACTTTTGTCGGTGGGAGGGACGCTGGCGTCGCAGCTGGTTCAACCAGCTTTATGGTCTCTTTGTGCTGCTGCAGCAGAGCTGAGAATCTGGCCCTGGCTCCCTCCCCGCCTCGCTGGGGACTGCATCAGTGTGCTGTTTATTGTTTCTGCCAGATCATTCCTGCAGATGTTAATGAATGCTAGACCCAGCTTTGCTCCCAGCAGAGTCCCTTCCACACCTCCCCCTGCCCAGTCTTCTGCACTGGAGTTTCTGTTTACAGTCCTGCAGGGAATTTCGCTTCTGCTGCGTGGTCTTCAAGCCGCACAGTCTCAACTCCTGCTGCCAGCAGGCTCCCACACCTCCCTGATTCCTGTAGCTGTCCAATGTTACCTCCAGGTGTCTGTGTCCCTCACTGTCACCATTCCTTCTCCACCTTTGGCCTTCCCAAACTAGAGACCTGCCAATTCTCCTAGGAGGAAGAGGGCTTGGTCAGTGAAGAAAGTTGCTAGAGGTTCTTCCTCTGCATGTATGGAGAAAGCACAGGGAGAAGAAGTCACTAAATAGTGACAAAGCAATTTGTCCAGGAGAACTCAGAGATAAAACATCCACACTGATAAGTGGTGCCAGGACCCACCTCCTGATCTGGCAGCCCACAGGCGTGCAGCAGCCTGCCCTGTCTTCAGATCCCAACAAGGTGGGCACCTCAGTCTGCCTATAATTGGGAAACACTGGAAGTGCTTGGGAGAGTGTTAATCAGTTCAGCCTAAAACCCCAGCAGCTACCTCTGCAGAATTTTAGCAGTACAGACAACCATCTCCCCAAGTCTCTGCTACTATGGTGGCTCACCCTGGAGGCTATTGGACACTGGGAATTCAAAGAGCAAGCCTACTTGTTGCAAAAGGGCTCTGTCTCAGGAGGGATTTCTGATCTCTTTTTCATCAAAACAATATCACTTACCCTTCCAGGAAAGCGATGACGTTCTTTCTGGGCCTCCCAATGTTTGGCCCATAGAGGTGTGCTCTGGAATAAGTGCGGATAAGCTGCATCAGGCTTCTCAGCTGAGTGTAGTCCTTTCCTAGCTGGCTGCCATTCACCGAGCGGCCAATCAGTGTCCGATAGTTATTGGGTTCTGGGAAAATAAAAATACACAAGCAAGGCTTGTCAGCTCTGCTCCTTCATCTGCACTTCTAGAGAGAGAGACACACAGCTCACCCTGTCACACGGCTTGAGGTCCGGAGAGGAGGCAGGCAGCAGAAGGAACCTTTAAGGAGCAGATGAGAGCCACTGCTTGCTCTCCTGCACCCTTTTTGCTGTGTGCTGGGAGGACCTGTACCTTGGTGTCATGCTCCCGTCCCCGTAGAGTTCCCACTTCCCATGGCACTTCCCATGGCACTGTAGACACCATACAAGTCCACCCCAGGACCAGCTGAGCCCAGCAGCCAGGGCAGAAACATTGCATACACTTAATACTAACTAGTAGAAATGTCCAGCTAAGGGCTAACTCACACCAAGTCTGTCTTAGAGATGGTGCTGGGGCCTTTAAATCCATCTGAAACTACACTGGCAAATTATCCTGGGATCTGCAAATATTCTCTTCCAAAACTGAATATATTTCTCCTACAGTGAGCTCCATTCCTGTGGCTCTCCTGTTCCCACACTCACCATTGCCCAGCTCCCAGGAGATGTTGTACTTCTTGCTGGCACTGTACTTCAGGAGGCTGAGGGCATTGGAGCTGTTCCAGGAGTTGTTGGGATTTCGGCGCAAAGCATTCAGTGCAAAGATCAGGTGAAGGCCAGAGCAGTCAGCAAAGTTATAGAGTTTGTCTAGAGACCTGGCTGGGAAGAAACAAAAAACAGTTTGCAATTCAAAAGAAAGCTAGTTCCAGGGAGGTTCAAATGATCCTGTTGTCCATCATACCTTGCCTTCTGTGTAGGATGAGCCAGGGTCAAATGCCATCCCCACGACATCTGTAACTGCAGAAATGAACCTGACCTTTGAAACTGGGATAGGATTCCAGGTGTGGGCTCATCTCCTTCCAGCATGAAACTTGGATGCCCTCCACTTCTGTGTCAGAGCTGGGGCCATGTTACCAGAAACAAGTGACTTCATAACATCTCTTTTCATCTCCTGTTGGCAAGGAAAGTTCAGCCTTTCCTGTGCTTATTCTGCCTTGTATCTTTTCCAGAGCAGACCCCTGCGGTGACTGGGGAGCAGAGAAGGAAATCACCACCCCAGAGCTGCCAGCTCATGGCCACCTCTCCTACATGCCACAACAGCCTGCTCTCTGCTCCCACAGGCCCCAGTACAGTAACCAAGACCCAGCAATGATCAAGTAAAGCCTCCATGCACCACACACCCAGCTAACCTCTGCCCTGCACCCAAAGACTGGAGCTTTGTATCATCTCTTGACATAGGGGAGAGAGGGCCTCCCTGCCTAGCGACAGCCTGGATGCACCCTGATGCCAGGGCGGCCTTCCTGAGGTGCTGGGGTCTTTGTGGGATTCATATCCTATCTGCTGGCCCCAAAGTTCCCAGGCTGGCATCTCCCTGTACTATAGCCTCGATGAGCAGTGGAAAACCAGCCAGCAGCAGCAAGAGAGACCAAAGAAAGAGCTGACCCACTATTTAGGGTGGTGTGACATTAGCACAGAGCCCTCCTGGGAGAAACACAATACTTAATGCCTTTTTTCCTTAAATCTTCCTTAAAAACTGAAAAGCAATCAAATGCCTGATGAAGCTAATGCCAGTATTAGCAGGACACAAACTCACATGACAGAGAGAGGAGATTTGGTTAGAGAGCAATTAAATAACAGTGGTGTTTTCAATCATCCCTGCCTGTTGAACTGCATCCCAGGACACTCAGTGAGCTTCCTGAAGCAGCCTTGGAGATGCAACCACTTAACTGTGAGGAGCCACCAGGGATAGGGAGGTTCCAGGGGGCCAGGGAGGGCAGACCGTGGGTTCTGCTTTCAGAAGAGGGGAAGGAGGCACTGGGGAATTACGGAGTAGGCAAACTGGCTTCAGGTCCCAGAAAAACACTTGGACAAATAATCAAGTTGCTTGTCAGCACTTACAAAATATAAGGAGATGATCAACAGCCAGAGGGAAATGCCAAGAACAAATCACACTGAAGCAATCTACTGACAGGAGAGAAGGGCTTGCGGGCAGCAAAGCGGCCATTTATGTCTTATACCTTGATGGGTTTTGAGACTTTGAACACAAAGGATTGCACATGATATTCTCTCCAGAAACTGAGGTAACCCTGATCTGGACAGAATTGCAATGAGAAATACACACACAACAAGAGCAGCTCTCAGTAATTTGCTGTTAGAGTGAAGGGGTTAGGCAGCCTTCTCTAGATAATTTTCAAAAAAAAGCGGGGTATAAAGGAGCAGAGGATACATCAAACTTGCCATGGCACTAAGGTTATAGCACGCACCACTATGGGCAAGGGAGCTGAAGGGAATGGAGAGGAGGCCACTGCATGCTCAAGGAATTGCCCTAATGCCGGGGGGGATGCTCCAAGATTCCCTGCAGCATGCTGCCCATCTGACGTGCAAGTGAAATGGTGACAGCCAGGAGCTGTTCATTCTGGTTGGGATAAGCTGCTACAGCCTATATGTCTGCATTCGTACTGTTGCCTTTCCTGGTCACTAAAGCTTCAGTGAATACAGAACCAGCTCTAAGAGTAAACTTATTTCAAAAGTAAAGTTTTAAGGAGGGTCAAGGAAATAAGCTAACTGAATAGCTAACTGCAGAAGAGTTATGGAAAGAAGATAGGGAAAATGTGGAAAAGAAATTCCTAATCCTTTTCACCACCTTTTTCTAAATGCTACTGGGTTGTTTGAGTGAAAAGTAGCTGAATTAGATTAATCTAATGTATTCATCTCACTGGTTTAGGCACATTAGCTGTTTTTCTGGATGTTTAGTGAATTAGAGACAGATACAGTTACTTAATACTCATTTACTCCAGACCCCCAGGCAAAAAGCTGCACTTGAAATGAGACTCCTATAAAGAGGATAAGATAGACACCCAAATGACGCAAGCAAAAAAGGTGTTACCTGTAGTTCTTCTGAGAGAAATGAAACCTTTTCACAGCAGAAAACAGTTGTACTGCAGGAGGGGATTTGGTTCATATTTAGGAGCCACTGCAGGGGACTGAGAATTGATTTTCCATGCATCCACAAGAGGAAACAAGATGTCTGTTCATCCCAATGCAGGGCCTACCACTGTGAAATTATATTTTCCCCATGACACTTATTTTGTTTCCGTGCGCCTGGACACAGAGATGCCACGTGTATTTCATGTTCTGCCACAACTTTCCAAGCTGGAAACCTCAGCAATCAGGGGAGCAGGCTAGGAAGAACACACAGATGTCTGGAATTTGCTCCTGCACATTTCCAGTGGTGTCCCAGAACAGACCGACTTACAGACTGCAATGAAGCTACAAAGAGCAGAAAAGCACTAATAAACCTATCTTTGCATGAAACCAGATTGTTAATACAGCCACTCTTGCTATCAAGAGTATCAGGTACCAAATCCACTTACCTCCTTTGCTCTTGGCAGCTGCCTTGGGATTGTATGAACTTGGAAGAAAACCCATCCAGTCACTCTGGAAGAGCCTTGATAATCAGTTTGCACAAGCTACCCAACCATTCATGTTTAAAGCACATGTCTGACCCCTCTGAGATGACTGCCTTAAACTGGATGTCTTCAATGCAGACAGCTGCATTTAGATGAGAAGAATACTGTCATGCAGAGGGCATATCAGCAGTGTGCTCAAGTGGCCAAGGAGGTCAATGGCATCCTGGCTTGGATCAGAAATAGCATGGCCAGCAGGACCAGGGCAGTGGTCATCTTCCTGTACTTGGCACTCATGAGGCTGCACCTTGAGTACTGTGTTCAGTTTTGGGCCCCACGCTGTAAGAAAGACATTGAGATGCTGGAGCATGTCCAGAGAGGGACAACAAAACTGTTGAAGGGTCTGGAGCACAAGTCTTATGGGGAGGAGATGAAGGAGCTAGAGGTGTTCAGCCTGAAGAAAAGGGGGCTCGGAGAGACTCTATCAACTCTCTAAAACTACCTGAAAGGAGGTTGTAGCAAGGTGGGGGTCAGCCTCTTTTCCCAAGCAACAAGCATTAGGACAAGAGGAAAGAGCCTCATGTTGTGCCAGAGGAGGTTTGGATTGGATATTAGGAAAAATTTCTTCACTGAAAGAGTTATCAAGGATTGGAGCAGGCTGTCCAGGGAAGAATTCGAGTCACCATTCCTGGAGATATTTAAAAGAGGTGCAGATGTGGCATTTGGGGGCACAGTTTAGTGATGGAGTTGGCAGTATTAGGATAATGGTTGGACTTAATGATCTTAGAGGTCTTTTTCAACCTAAATGATTCTATGATTCTGTGGATGGCTAAAGCACAAAAATAAGCTTATGTAGAAGACTTTGAGTGATGTCCAGTCCTCCATATGTACAAACAGGGCCATAAGAAAATGCTATAAATATTTTACTGCCATGACTAGGGATGGCAACATTACTTCTGAGTAATGAGAACATGAAGAATCATAGTATTATTAACAGCTGGCTAAAACTCACTTTGAATTTTGGATAATTGCACTATTTTTTCTTCATCAAACAAAGAAAATCATACAGGAATTTAACCTTTCTCCAGCTAACAGATCATTAGGCAAGGCTTTCACAGAGTATTTCAATAGAAAAAGCCATTGTCGTACTAGAATGAATCTTAATAGAGCAGAACTAGATTTATGGGATGTTCTCCCTGCCCCTTCTCCCCCTCTGCCCAGTGCAGAGATGCACATACTCAGCACTCACGTGCCACTGAGCTCAGGGAGAAGGAATTTAAAAAAAAAATTAAAAAAAGCGGAAGGATGCTGAGAGTCAGCTTCTTCCATTTGCTAATGCTCACATAGTTGGAGTGAGGATAATCAAGGCAAGAAAACTCTGTTCGCTCGCACACAGTGGCAGCACTTGATGGTGGGTCTCAATGGGGCAGGTGCCTGTCTCAGTGGGTTTGGGACAAACAGCAGCCAGTAGTCACAGGCCACATAACCCTGGCAGAAAAAAGAAATCAGAAGATATTTAGGCTTTCTCAACCTTTTGCATCCTTGTTTGCAGAGGTTTGAATGCATCTGGACAGTGAGTACAGCCCAACGATGCATGGCTGGGTGGCCACCAGTGAAGATCTGCTAGAAAACCCTGCACTCAGCCAAAGCTCTGCACAGAAATTAAAGTTTTTAGCTGTTTGTATTGATCTCATGCATTCTGCAAAGAGAGACAAACAATTTCAAAATGCAGAAGGTGTCTGTGAAGCCACAAATGATGGTGGGGCTCAAGGGACAAGTACGTCCTTTGGGATTCTTTCCCATTTTTCTTCTTTTTATACAAGGCTAAATTTTAATGTTCTCTGAAAGATGGATGGTATTTAACTCTGTGACATGCCAATACAAAATCTGAGGCACATTAAAAGATCTCTGACAGTTTCAAATAATTGGAAAGACTTTCCAGTTGTAGTTACTGAATTAAACATTATACGAGAGACTTTTTAAAGAACACAGTATTGACTGCTGTTTGGTAAGAGGGACAGTTCAAGAATCTCTGGGTTTTAAAATCTTCTACATTTTTTATTCTGCTTCAGGAACTTTGCTTTGTCAGGGTTTAGCACGAAGAGAGAAAATTCATATGCCCATTGAGATGGAGGCTGAGATCAGTCAGTGGGCTGAGGGGTGGTAGGGCATGGCACAGTGTGCCAGGGGCTTTTGTAACTCGGGGAAGTCAACCAGGAGGGCAGGAAACAAGAGCCCGTTCTCCCTCTATTC